ATGTTCAGATGTAGGCAGCAACAAAGGAAATTAACCCGAGTACTGTAATTTTTAAGAATACTCTATAATACACTATTTCTTTCTGAAAACGTTTTAATTTTAGTTGAAAAAGTTTTAACATTAAAATAATGTCTTTTACTCCTCTACATCCCCCCCACTTTTTTTTGCTGTGTTTATGTATTTTGCCATTTTGTTCCACTGACACACTAGAAAATTACACAGTAAAATTACACAGTACTCCCATACAGTAGGTGGTGATAAGCAGCTTTAAATTGGTTACAAGGAGAACAAGAAGAATCATTTTTGTAGTGATGCCTTACAGGAACGTGTTTCAGCGCTAGTGTAGGTTTTTGTTTAGATCCTTATTAGACCTTGTGATTTTAATATGGACTCATCTTATTTAAGACCTACATTCCCTTTGTTCTTTTAATGGATTTCTTCCAAATAAATTATGTTAAATTGTTTTGTACAAAAGTGTTTCTAATTTATTGTAACAAATGTTATGGTACAAATATTACAAATACCAACTAAAAAAGCTCAGTGTGAAATGTTTCCCCAAAAAATTAGATTTAAAGTTCCTTAATTAGTYACTTAATACTCTCTATGAAAATGTTCCAAGCCTTGTCCTTGAAGTGGTGACTATGTAGAGACTAAATGAGTTTGACAGTTCTTGTAAAAGGGGTTTGATTAGGAAGATTTACTGTAGATGTCAGTGGCACAGCGAGTAAGCGTTTGAGCTGGAACCAGAGCATTGTCGGTTCAAATCCCTGCCAGAGCACATACTGTTGTGTGTCTCATGGGCAAGACACTTAACCCAACTTCCCCATGTATTAATCTGTTGGTGTGACTGTGGTGGTCTGCAGGGACTGTAGGTGCAGAATGGCATCCACCACCAAGTGTGAATGACTATGCATGAAATTGTAAAGTGCCTTTGAGCATTTAAGAGCTACATAAAACTAATGCATTGTTATTTTATACTTGAAGTTACTGATCTGTTCAATGTAGTAAAACAATTTCCCAATTGTACTTGAATAGACTCAAGTKAAATAAATGCATTGCTAAAAGATTTTTGTTAAAAATTAAGTACTTTCAGTACTTAAATATTTTTGAAAGCACATCCTCAATACTTTAACTTAAATAATAATTTGACAGAGCTACTTTTATTTGTGTTGGAGTAATATTTGACCTGTAGGATTAGTACTTTGTCCACCAATGTTTATACAACAATGATATAAAGTAAGACAAAGAGACAGTTATAATAATCATTCACCTTTTGTGATTAAGAGGTTGAATTACTTGAAGGAAAAGTTAATCCAAATATGAATTAATTACTAGATAGTTAAAATATTCYACAGGCACTGCTGTGTGTTATTAAAGTGACTAAAGTGTGTTCTAACTTAAAATAACCTCCAATTTAAAACAGATAATGTATAATAAAACGTCTTCTCCAGAGATACATGCTTTTGAAGCTGACTAAAAATACTTCCCAGAAACACGAGAGCAATTTTAAGGTAAGTGATTTTAACAGCAAATGAAGAAAAAGAAAATCATCTGAGACTTGTTCAGTTTGTATTTCTATGTGTTATGTTGAATCATTAAACATGTTAACTGTACAGGAAACCCACCAGCACTGTGTTAGAAATAACAGTAGCTGAGGAATCTCCTTGCATGGATCACACACTCTGTCACAGAAACTAGTGTGTGAGGATTTATCGCAGCTCTTCTGTGTTAGTGATATTGATATAATTGTAAGTGTAATGAATGACTCACTCCTGTGGGGATGATTTAGAGGGCTTGGCCAAAAGGCTTTTCTCCTCCTTCCTTGTTTGAAAGATAACTCAGTGATGTGAGGAAACCTGAGGTAATTCATACATTACCYCGAGGCCTGACTGCAACACCCTGGTAGTCCATTTCAGAAAGTGTTAGGAGCTTCAGCTCTTTTTTGATGCTCATATGGATCTGCTTTATGGCATTTTCTGTATGAAATTATGAGTGAATAAATTGCATCTTCATTTATCTTGAAAAAAAACCTTCTGTGGTGACTGCGATACTCAGCTCTCAGCGCTTTACATAATTATATTAGTCTTCTGCTACACTATGAAATTGATTGCCCAAGAAAATGAACCTGGCTTTGCYATAAATTACACCTATGGATCATAAGAAATGTGTTATTTTGTTTAAAATAGTACCTAATATAATTAGAGCTCTAATTCATGGCGAGCTACAAGTGTGCCTATTACTGTAACAGGGTTTGGAATTTAATCTGTCTGCTGGATAAAGAATGATCCTGTGTGGTATTCATTTGTAATCCCAGACACATTATTTCAGTAAAATAGTCTGTGACTTTTAGATATAAGAGATGGATTGGTGAATGAATAACCATATTCATAAGTTTCTGGATTAAAGTTAACGCTTCATTCAAGAAAGTTTCAGCGTTTGTTGCACAGATTGTCTCTAACTTCGGCTCCTGCTTTGCTGAAAGTTTTACTTTTACTGAGTGTGAGGAAGTTAYTCATCGGTGACAGCTACTGAAGGCCAAACTCTAAAAGATAATTATTACCTGGTTAAATACGGTCTTTAGGTAATAAAATAAAGTGTGGTTTGGATGCTACCTTTCAGAGATAACATTGTTTTGTCTAATTTTCTGAAGAGTGTAAAAGGAGTTCCCCAAGGCTCAGTTTTAGGTCCTGTTTTACTTTTTATTTGCTATTAATAAAGAAGACAAATCAGTCTGCAGGTATATTGCATCATTATGCAAATTAAAGCTAATTTTATTTATGTGGCATTACCTTAAACCAAGATGTTGAAAATATTCAGAAGCAGGGCACACTGTATGGCTTAAAGTTGGTGCGAAATGCAAGTCAAACCAGATTTAAGCCATTTTCTTTAGGTTATCTCATAAAGTGAATGTTTTGTAGATTAAAGCTGGACATAAATAAATGTTTTAACCACATGGAATAATTTCGGATTCATCTGATTGCAGGTGCAGTTGTTTAGCCTTTTTTGTGTTAATAAGTGTCTAATTTTAATTTAACATTCACGTACCCCCAAATAAGACAAAATGACTGTCCTTAATGAACTATTTTAAAGTTTTGAGTTTTTTATTTTAAATAACTCAGCTACTGCACAAATTGATTTCTTTGAGATTCAGTTAGGACTGAGAGAATCAATACCTGAAAATCTRTCCTCTGATTTTTAGTTTAGTGCCACAAAAGCTGGTTTAAATTTGTGAAATCCTAATTATGTTAGGTGATTTGGAACAAAGCAAGTACCCGAGGTTTCCGCAGTATTACCGATTCTCAGTCTTTTCATTTTGAGAACAAATAAAAATCTGAATCCAGAGACACAAAACTGGGCTTCAGTATTGACTGAAAATAAAAGTCCATCCATRGGAACAAGGTAAAATTGCAAATAGTAGGCTAAGCAAAGCCCCAAGGCAAGTAATCACAATAAAAAGCAGTTACTAAAACT